TTTATGATGAAAAGTTTAACAGTCAACTCCTCTGCCTGTGAATCACCCTGCGTAAACAGCTCAGGAATATTTTAACTGGTCTGAAAAAGTATTCTGTAATTTCTAACACAGTAAAAAGGAAACAAACTTCAACAGGGAGGGGTAATACAATCAGATAAAGAAAAATGGTGTAGGCTGGATATCAGGAATAATCTGTAATAATATATTAAGATTTCAGGGAAATGGAGGAATATCCATGATTAAGTGAGATAAAATCCCTACCAGAGGGAAAATAAGGGCAACTCCACATTATTATGGAGATGGAGTCATCTCTATGTTTAGGTCTTTGGGACAATTCAGTCCTAATGAAAGCCATGGAATTTGTGATTATCAGCTCAGGGTTTGGGGTTTTTTCTACTATTTTTTGTCTGGACAGAAGAGCGACAACAATTATTTTGTTAATAAATAATGTCAGAACTGCATCCTAAAACACCACCAGGATGTTGGTAGAAAAACAAGGCTGCTTTTGTTTTTTACAGTGCATAATGCCTGATGGGTTTTAACCACAGTTTAGGAGCTACTGTTAAAAAGCTTCTTGCTGAGTCAAGCCTAGGCATGCTGTTTACTAGGGTTAGCCCCGAAGGCTCTTGCATTGGCAGGGACTTTTAAGCTGAGCTAAGGAGTTTTCAGTTATTTTTGTTGTGATTTAAAAAAAAATAATAATAAAAAAACAGGTAAGCATGTAATCACCTCCCATATCTGCCAGCAACTTTCCTCTGGAGTCAAGGGCTTGGTCTTGCAAAGCTGATGCTGTCCCTTAGCTTAAAGCAGAGACCAGGCCCCACTGGATTAGGTTTTTGTGAAGAAGTTCACTAAAATACAAAATACCCCTTTTGTTAGAAAAGGGCCTGTACTAACGTAGGAAGTTAATTTCTCTGGTTCAGCTTTGAGCCTCCACACACCTGGCTGATGACTTTTGCTCAAATAGTGCTGACCTACATCCAACAGCGAAGAGTGAAATTCTGACAAATCAATAAAAGCTGCATGCAGAAAATACATGTAAGACCCACCACTGCTCTTCCACGGAGCCTGGGCCATCCTGTGCTCTGGAAGAGAGTATGACAAGAAAAAAGAGTATGTGGCTCTGTAATTTGATCCTGTATCTCCAGAATACTGCAGAACCTCCAAATTTGTCTTCTGTCTTTTCTTAGCCTTTAAGTATTGTAGTATTACTGTTAAAGGAATGTTATGTTGTGCATCAATACAATTTCTTCATTCTGCTCTAGTTCTACATTCCTGAAATAGACTTCATCCCATATTCAGTTTCACTCCATTCTCCACTGCATCATTTACAACGTCCACTGGACTCCAATCCTGCCTCTCCCTCTCATCCTCCATAATACCACAGGCACACTATTATTGCAAACCAGGACAATCATCTGAATAAGATAATTTATTTTTCTAGACAAGCCAAGTGAACACCACAACTCTGCTGAATTGTTAATGCCAAGAAAAAAAGTCCAAATATTAAAGATGTCCAAAAATTCACGACCCAACAAGTAAAACTAACAGTAGTTGTACAGAAAGTGGGTTGTCCTAAGGACTGGAGAAACACCAAAACAATCTCTAAAAGTAGAATTCAAGGAAGTCCCAACATAATCTGCTTCTGGAGATATATAATAAATCCTTAGTGGTTTAGAAGAAGACTCAAGTCCTGAAAATTATTTGTCATGCTGCTTAACAAGAAAATCACTGAGACACCAGGAATGACAACACTGAGGAGAAACGCAGCAAGTCTTTCAGGCCCGTCTTGGCAAAAGGGTCCTCTTAAACTCAAGTTTTTCACATTCCCATCTGTGTTACCAAGCAAAGGGTCCCACAGGTGGCTCTGCTCAAGAGAGCCTTGCAGATTGAGCTCTCTCCAGTTGAGATAAAATAACGTATGTTCTCATTAGGCCGAATGCAAACAGTGATGAAGGGGAATGCACTGCCAGGTCACATCGAGCAATCAGGAAACAAACCTTTGACATAATGCAGCAGGCAGATAATAAGACCCCATAGTTAGCAACAAATGAGACTGCACTTAATTTGCTGTGCAACGTTCACATAATTAGATAAATTTGGTACCGTCAAGACAGCAGACAGGTAGAATATAGACTTGATGAATTGGGGGCTCTCTGTCAGGCACCCATCACATTAATCATAAAGCCAAAACTCAGTGACGCAATTTTTCTTCCAAACATTTGCCATAATTTTCTAGAGTGAGAATATGCATATGCCCTTGGGGTTTTCTTACGCGTTTTGTTTACTTTTGAAACAAGAAGGATTGATTTCTGCCCCACCAGGACAGAGTACAAACTTCTAGAAGCTCATCTGTGCCCAGAGAGTATTGAACAAGGCTGCCGGGAATACCGTAATTCAGTTTGATTTCACTGGACAACAGCCCGAATGGGCTGGTGGCATAAATTGTCCAGCATGTTGGACAAGAGCCATGCAATCACTGAGTATGTTCTAGCCCAGGTTTACCACCATGTCTGGATGATTTCACACTGGACATCCTCCAGCGAGGAGGGTGAGCACTACGTTGTAACCTCCAGAGAACAGACTGGAGGAGAGAGAAGACAAAAGAGACATAGAATAAAAAACAAGAGGAGTAAAGGGGAAGACATGACTTTAGGATGTTGGCAGATAAAATTTGAAAAGGAAAAAGGATTGAGACCACAGCTGCAGAGAATTTTCCCAATATGGTTGTGCCATAGTGCAGGGTACTTCTTGACAAACAGCCAAATGGAAGTGGCATTCCCTAAACCCTAAAAAATTGTCACAGCCAAGAAGCACTTGGCTGCTGAGCTTTGGAGGTTCTCCAGCCACAAAGGCACCTTTCAGTGCAGTGCCCAGGCAGCTTCAAAGAGGAGTATGTTTTCTCTTTAAGACCCGCAACCAAGTTTTCTCTCCCGTAGCTCGCAAGTTAGTTTTGTGAGAGGAGCTGCTGGGAAGGAGAGGAATCCCAAATGCAACAGGTATTTGCCAACAACTCTACCAAAATACTAAGCAGGACATGCTTGGTCCACTGATAGACAAATGTGGTAACTGCTAACACAGCAGACTCTTAATGGTGCAGATGAATTGAAACCTGATCTGCCAGGGCCGTACACTTGGCCAGGGTCGATCAGCTGGACAAAGCCAATATGAAAAAATACTGGGGTTACTGGGGATATGATTCACAGGCATCTAGCATCAGTGGCAAGCTCTCAGTTGCGTTTTGTAGAAGACCTTGCCTCACGACCCCACCAAAGAAACCGCTGTGAACCCCCAGTGTATATGCAGTGCCCCCAAACCTCCTTGTGAGGACTGAAGGGGAGCACGGAGTGGGGCACACAAATAACCTGTGACAAACATCAGAACATCTGCCAGCCTCTCTTCTAACCACTGTTTTGAATAGCTCCCTCTTCCGTACATGCTTTATTAGCCAGAGATCTGGTTTATTAACTATCTCCGAGCAAGTTATTATTCTGTCATTTTTTTCTACAACTTTTGCATGAAAGACCAGAACTGTTTTATGCAGACTCCCGAATCCCCCCCGTTTCCCATATTAGCAACCTGCTTTGTCATTTCCCTTTGCACACAGCATGGAAGAAGTTGCTCTGCCCCTTTAAACATCCAGTCAAATTGACTGTCAGCCTAAAAGATGATGACTTGTCTTTTGGTAAGATCTGGGGGAATGCCCTATCATTTATTTCTTGCAGTATTCTGCAGGAAGCAGAATAAAGCTGTAGTAGCTGTGGGGCTCCACAGATCTGGCTGCTGCTGTCTGCATTACTTGCTTCTCAGGGTCTGTTCCCTGCTCACACCTACCCAGAAGCAACACAGCTCCACAAACAGCCCCTGCAAAGCTGGGTTAGCACAGCCCCTGGCCACACAGCAAGGATGCAAGAGGACTCCAGGGGATCAAACGAGAATTAAGTCATGAGCCCTAGTTGTTCTTTCCTTGTTCTTGCAAAATTATTCTGGCCCTCAGTGATTCCCCTACACTGAGCGCTCTGGCACCTGTCCCTCAGCCTATGTCTGAGTCCTGTGTTACAGTTGTGGGTTGAAGGATTTTGGGATGGCCACGGGACTGCCAACCCCATCACACTGCTCCTCACCTCTCATGGGAAAGGTGCATGTCAGGGACTAGAAGAAACACTTCCAGCCTCACCATCACTAGAACCTCTGCTCACATCCCTGCTGGTTCCATTTTCCTTGCCCTGATCAAAGCTTACAGGAGGTGAAACAGATCTCTCTGTAAACATCTCCTTCAAGACATCAAGAACTATTGAGCTGTCACGTCCCTGGATGAGGAGATTAACCACAAACCCCCCTCTCAGGGTGTAGCCCCTGACCAGTCTCTGTGCTCACTGCTCATCAGCTACCTCAGGGAGAGGAGGCTTTCATGAGAAGGTCACCACCAAAACCCAGAGTCCTACCCCTCCAGGGTGGACATGGACACCCCCATGAGTACCTGATTTATTACTGCTTTTAGAAAATGCTACCAGCCCATTCAGGCTGTTGTCCAGCGAAATCAAACTGGATTACGGCATTCCCGGCAGCATTTTGCCACCATCCCCACAACTGGCAGGCAGGGAGGAATGGTATGTAAGGTCTCCAAAGAGAGGGAGCAGTGCTGGGTCTTTGCCAAGATGGTGACAGAAATGACCCAGGCAAGGCATGATGTGAAAAACACAGCGGGTGCAAAAACACAAGTCAAGCCTGTTCCCGGGACCTGAGCTGGATAATGACAAAGAAGCCCTATACTCCCATCCTGTTGCTATAGGGCATTTCTACCAGCTTAACAGAGCTGTAAAGCCCTCCTGCCAGGCAGGCCAGTATTGTCACTGGATGGGGACAATGAGGTGGAGGGTGGCCAGTAGGGCCAGCTTGCCAGAAGGGCAGTGAGTCCCAGGGACTTTAGCAGTGGGATTCGGAATACTGCAGGTGGCTGACATTTTAGCGAGGCACGGGAGTGGAGGTGTAAGACTTACCCGTGGATAGCGTGGATAGAGTGAGGTTCGTAATGGTATCGTCCTTCCTGGTGGCGCATGTCAATTGGCAAAGGAGCGTGGAAGGCCGGAAAAATGTGCTGCGGCACTGTTATGGGGAATAGAAGAAAAAAAAAGGGACTTCAAAAACTTTTCCTTCCCTTTTAAAACAATTTCAAAGGCACTAAATCTCCATGAATTTCAGAGCAAGAGCAGTGCAAGACAAGGGGTCTTCATGATATCAGCGCTATCATACACCAGAGAAGTGGAATGAATAAATAATCAAAGTCATGCGGAAAAATCCTACATCTTCGACATAAAAGATCTCCAACAGGGTTTTTGACAAAGACAAGCAGCTAAGCGCTCTTTGAACTTGAGGAGATTATAGCAAGCACCAAGGAAAACTAGACTTGCAACGCAAATCAGACTCAACAGAGCCTGGTGGGATCCAGACCTGCATCGTCCCTCAAGCCTGGAGTGGCAGCAAACACTGTTCCTGAAGGTCTGTACACACGACTTGGAAATATTTACCTAAAAATATAACAGCAAGAGCAGCGCTGAAGCAGAATGTCTAGGCAGTCAGAAGAGGCTCAGAAGTGCCTACTGCCAGGTTCTGAGAGAGGAGCTCAAATTGCTCTCACTTGTAATCACTTGAGGCCCTATTTTTTATTCATTTGAGAAGCTTGTTTCATCTTTGATGGAAAGATAAAGTGGTCTCAAAAGGCAGCGAACACCTACATTGACTTATTAAATCTACAGGTTTTAATATTTATTATTGACCCCAAAAGTTAACGGCGAGAATATTTGAGTGAGTTGAGCTGATGGAAAATTCATCAGGTTATTTCTCCTCACCACCCCCAACAATACTGCCTGGCCGCCTGAGCCTTTCCTGCTAAAATTACAGAAGCTAAAGAAATAGAATTAGCAGAGCCTCCTCGATAGCGATACCGCACAACCGCAATAGCGATCCCATACAACCACAATAGCGATCCCGTACAACCACCCTCTGACAGGGCCCCGCGCATCTCTAAAGATGCCCCTTTCTACATCTGTGGCAGCGACCAGCTTCAAGATAAAAGGCTGGTCTTGCTCTGCCTTTACAAACAGTCAGAAGTTCTTCATTAAAGATTACTTAATATTGTTGCAGGTTTTACCATTCTTTCTCTGGCTTCTTGGCCTTTCTGTCTAGCCGGAGACCAAAAATAAAACAAACCCATGCTCCTAAGTGAGCAATTCAAAACCCAGTTGTGCTCGGTATTTCACTGTAACTTGCCTCCGCGACAGGTACCATCTCTCTGGAGACTGGGGAAGCACCATCCAAAACCAAAGTGTCAAGGCTTGGGCCAAGTCTCTTGCTGTCGCTCAGCAAACTTCAGAAATGCCAAACTCTTTTTCTACGAAAGACTTAAAATTCAGCCTTTTGCATCTGTGACTCCAGCTGCACCAGAGCTATGCCGACTCTGTGTGGTGGGGCTGCGCTCCGCTCGGGTCCGTCGCGCAAAGCCTGCGTGTAATCCTCATATACGTCTTTCCCGGCATATCAGCAAGAGGATCTGCGGCTCCTACTCCCATTGCAGCGCTCAATCCCTGAGCACAGCACGGCACAGGCGCGTCAGCCAGGCTGCTGGGAGAGGTGAGAGACTACACAAAAACAACCCTCCTGCCAACTCTGCTGAAAGGCGTTAAGCTAAGGTAGCCGGGGTGGAAAGTATTTAAGGCTCTGCAGCAGACTTGCTCTCCGTGCTCCAGCAAAGGGCTGGCACCTCACACTACCTGATACACTGGGAGCTTTTTTGCAGCTCGCCTAATGTCAGGACACAGTAGAGTAACTGTTAACCACCTCCCCCGCTTCTGCCCCCCTCCCCTCCTCTCCCAAAAGCAGCTCAGGGAGAGAATGAACTTGGATCCTTCAGGATTCACTTTTGCAGGAGGAAGATTCACCCTTTAACTGTCCTGAGTAGGGACCATCTGTTACATAAGGACACTTGTAGGGAGTCTTCATTTTAAGAGGCAAAGCGTGTTTTTCCAGATCAAAAATACACCAGAGTTTAGCTGTCACATCCTATCCCCTGCTCACAGAGCACAGTAAAGCCTCTGGTCTCCCCAAACCATGCTCAGCTCAAACTCCAACCTATGCTGGAAGACACCTACAGCTGCTGTCCTCCTCCCTGGGGACACTGCTGTTCCCTGGCCACAGCTGCTGCCACAACCTACGGCTGCTGTGGGGACCAGAGGGAGTCGAGCTTTTACATCATCCCATACAAAGCATGGTCACAAAATCAACTGTCCCTTCACAGACATCCAGTGGCAAACAACACAAACACCTCCTCCAGCCTGAGGCCCTAGACTGGGCTTCCTGCAGTGCTCACCCCATATTTACGCTGCACAAATAAACCAAAAGGAGTAAGAGAACTTCTGTGGTTCTAGGATCAACCTAAAGTGCTGCTGGTGGCATCCCTATAGCTGAGGATTAGCAACCTCCCAAAGTAAGTTGGTCACTTTGCCTCTAATGGACAGGTCTGGGGCTGAGTTCCTGCACTTCCCCAGAGTGCAGGAAAGTGAGAGCTGAAACTGTATGGGCCATCACAGCTGAATTTTAATGATGTGGAGAGTCGCCCTAATCCTTTGGCCTGTCCCCTAGGGCAATTTAATTTATTAATAATGATAAAACGACTAAAAACAGGTCAAACTGAATATCTTAAAAGCCAGGCCAGCTATGTTTTATTTTGTACCTATGCATTTCTACATGATTGATTGCTGAGATAATACTAGAAATTTCTGTGCTAAAAGAGTCTCTCCTTGTCACTCAGGAGAGCTGGGAAATAGAAAACACAGGCTGTTTGCTGCCTGGCCTCCTTTCCTAGCTATCTGTTGGTATAAAATTGACATCTGAAGAGAATTTCTCCCTCCTCACACCTCTGATTATTAATGGGAGAAAAATTTCCATGAACTTCCTCCTTCTCACTGCACTCTTAGCTTGTTTTTAGCATTTCAACCTATTTTGCCCATGGGAAGCTCAGCAATGCCTCTGCCTTGGGTATCTGTTTCACACTCCCAATTGTAACCCCACCATGCTTTGCTGCCACTAATGGCAAGGGAAAGGGTTGGTTTTTTTGACATCCCTTAGCAACATTCCCCTTCATGACCTCCCCTCTGCTTCCCTGCCTGGGAGCACCAGCCAAGCCTACGGGCCCCAGTGGCTGGTGCTGTTCATTTTTATTCTCTTCCAGGTGCTTGGTCAGAAATAATGAATGGTTTTATAGGCAATCAACTACCAATTCATAAACGTCAGCCTGGCTCTGCTTCTTGTTCCCACCCCTCCAGAGGAGGACTGTGAGCTGGCAGCAGAACAGCAACACACGCTGTTAACAAAGATGGATGTTTTACACATACGAGTTAAAAAGACAATTATATTCAATTACTTCAAGTAAGTTACGGTGATGTATTCCTGAATAGCCACGGGAAGGGCAATATGATGATTAGGGCAATGAATTTGCCAACTTTAATCTAATCAAGGCAATCTTTTGTTTAGCATTATCTGCTTTGCAGTGGCAGAGGATTTACCAAACCCAAGCAATCTTTGTAGATTTAACCCCAAAGCTGCCCAATTAGAGCTAATGATGATTGCTTTACACAAGAGGGAGGGAGATTTTAGTGGGAGGCCCGGGGAAAGCTTTTCCCCTGGAAAAGGTTGGGCTGTACCAAGGATGTAATACAATACTCTGAGGGGCAAAGGCACGACATGGCACCTCCAAAAGTCCCTAAGCACTCCAACCACAGATAAACATTTTCTCTGGTTCCTGCTGAAGGAAGAGAAAGCCGAAGAACACATCAAAAGCAGCACGCAAGGGGCAGGGACAATGAGAGAACAGCGCGTTTTGCACAGAAACAACCCAGTTCTACACCAAGTTGGCGAAGCAGGGCGGCAGAGCACAAGGCACACTCAGGAGGCCCCACCTTCCACCCCACCGGGCTCCTGCAGGAATGTCTGCTCCGCAGCGCCATTTGATAAGGGGGAAGACGCTGCTACCTGTCCCCACTTGTCGGAGCCGATTTTCTGGCCAAGGTTTATGAGCAAGACACGGACCTCCCACTGCTGTGTTCTCATCCTTGTCTATTCAAAGGCCAGCCAACCCTCTGGCTTCAAAGAGAAAAGATAGGAGGCAGAAATGCAAGTTTAAAGGGGATGTCCGTTTGCTGAAAATCCCAGGAATCAGGGAGGGAGGCATCAGAAACAGCCCTTATTTGAGCATGATGCAGGCTTTTGATTATCTCTACAGATAAGTCTGTGCTTCAAGAGAAACAAGACTGCCTGTATGGGTTTGCATAGCGAGCAAAGGAGCTGTTTTGACATCACTCATAGCAGAACCTTTTCTGAGCTCCAAAGTGAGAATTAGGAAGGGTCTAGCAAGCTTTTTCTATTCCAAATACTTCAGCTTACACACGTTTGCTGAAAAGAAAAAAAAAAAAAAAAGAAGAAAATAAATCAGACCCCATGGCACTGAAGTGGGTTTCGTTTGCAGTTTGCTTTGACAAAAGCAATTCAGAAAGCCCTTGGAAAAGGACTTAAGTTGCCACTTGCAACTGTGGTGCTGCAGCAAGACTGGCTGGGAAGAGGCCCTGAGAAGCCCCCCACACACCCTTGGTACCACACAGAAGGTACTGGGCTCCCCCTGCTTTATCTGATGCACATGTGAGTCGTGGAGGCCACCATATGGGCTAAAAAATATACAGCTTTCCTATGGGTGTCCAACAGTCTCCTGGGGGAACAAGCAGTCCAGGCTGTAAGCAGGCTTCTCTGCCATCAGAAATAGTGCACAAATATTTTGCAATCAACAGTGAAAGTCATTCATTGAGGAAAATGTAAAATATCATTGGATAATGTACCTCAGTACCTGTCATGCTTTTCTCAACAAATTTGCAAAAAAAAGATTCCATAGAAATTGATATATTATAAAAGAGGAAACACAAATTCTGATTTCTTGAGATGCTTTTTGGTTTGATTTCCTATGGAGCCAATGATGCATGGGACACAACTTTCATAAAGGGACCACAAGATCCCTTGCAAACAGTAACAAAGCTTCAATTCTCTTTAGGAAGGGAAGAAAA